TAGTACATCGCGTTCAGTTAATATATGATTGATCTTATAAAATGATGAATTAATATTAATTGAATCGATTTTTGTAATTATAATCATTTACCTCTCCATATTTGTATAAAGTGGACTTTTGCATCTGTTTTAACGCACATACTTCTTGAGTATCTTTTTTTGTAGCTAAATAAACCTAATTGAATCATAAATGCTTGCCATTTAATAGCTTCGATTACTACTTACTTGGCCATAACCACCTTGTCCAATTTGAAATAAAATATGAAACTGATCGAGTCTTATTCTTACCCTACGTTTTCTAAGATAGGCTCTTTCCCTCCCACAATATCGAGTCCACTCTTTATCTTTTTCCTCTTGTTCTAACTAATAGAATTAGACTCAAAGCTACTAGGTAAATTAAAATTTACTTCTTCTTTTTCAACATATTCCTCAAATTTATTTAGCCTGCCTTTGCGTTCATAAAGATACGTTAATAAATCATAATAGTAGTCCAGAAAGTCTAAAAAGTTGTTATCATTAGTCATTATTTTTAATTTGTAAGAATAAGAGCTATTACAAACTTGAGCAGCAGCACATCTTCTTCTGGTCGTTGGATTAGTTAAAGCAACGCTATTGATTTTACTACTATTTAATCTAGCACTTGAAATTCTCGATAAAGTTGACTCACTATAGGAGCTACTCCCTTTATCTGACATTTTTGTATAAAATCAAGAAAATGGAATAAGAATTTTGAATTAATTTAAGGATCAAATAAACCCAGCCCAGTAATTTATGATGTGATAAAGGTTAAAATGAATTAAAATTACATATTATTACAACCATTTATTAATGAAAATATTCTTTAAAAAATTGTAATTCTTCTGGTAACATAATAGAAATTTTATAATTTTATAAAAGCAGTTTATATTAAATAATCAAAATCAATTGTGGAGTCTATAAAAACTACAAATAACCATCTTATTAATATTGTATGAATCTTACAAACCTTTTTTTATTTTGGATATGGATTATTAAGGTTTTTAATAGCAAATAAAATCACGAATTAAAACTATTTTAATTGAAAATTCTTTTAACACTTTTTAAAGTATAAAAATAGAGCTTTTAGAGAATTCAATAATCACATAATGATGGACTTGATAAGTTCAAACTTACTTAGTTTAAATAATGCATCATCAATAATCGGCTTGCTAAGCTATATTTACCCTAAATTAAGAGACATAGGAGGTTTAACAAAAGCATATGACGAATCGTTTCTAGAATCTTGGTTTTTAAGTTTGTTGTTGAGTTATTTTATTAGTAGTTTCATAAAAACAATAAGTTACTACTTAAAGAAAAACAGTAATGATACTTTATTTAATTCTGTTATATTGGAAGCTTTAGATTGGGTATTATTAATTTTAAATATATTTTATTATCCAACCCTATCACCTAATTACAGTGCTTACATGAATAAGTTTTTGCCTAATTTTTTATTAAACTTCGGCTCCTTTTTGAAGATATATGGCTTCCTTTATAAAATAGCACTCTTTGTTGCATGGCTGTTATTTTTAGCAATATGTGTAATTTATGAGCCAGCATTCTTTTTTTTTGAAATCTTGGATAATTTAGGCCAATTTACAGCCAAAGCAGAAGCTATGCAAAGTCCAGTTTCAATGGTAATATTTTTTATTTTGATAGTTGTTAATTAAATATTTCGAAAGGGATTTACACTACTTAGTTGCATCGGTTTAGCAATCTTTAGTTTCTATACAATTTACTTATCAACTTTATCAACTTTGTACTATACTTTTCCTGCTGGAATAAGTATTGTTATTTGGTTATTGATGTTAGCTTCCTTTTCATTGACCGTTTATAAACTGTTCATACCAAATGACGACAACTCTTTAAACCAACCATGGACTATTACTCAAATAGCTTTTGTGGTAATTTATTTTATGATAATTAAATTTTCATACTTATTATGATTTATACTAACTTAATTCATAGCTGTTTTATCAGATATCAACTATTTCATCAATAAATACAATCTTGTGTTTAGAAAATACTTCTTATAGGTAATCATCATGCACATTTATAATATACTGCAATCACTAAAAACATTTTTTAGTTTGAGCATAGTAAATAAAGTATTGAGTCTTATGAGGATGCTATTCCACTGGGTGGTTGTTTTTGTAGTATTTTATAGATTTGGATTGGCATATATTCCAGAACTTTTTCCAGGTTTTGAGACGCTTGTTTCAAATGTTTATAATCAGGTAACTATGAATACATATGATTAAAGCTAAATTAAAATTTAACTAGGATGGCCAAACTCAGGAAAATAGAACTATTAATTATAGAAGTATAATACCAAAAGTAATAAGAGCTGGTGTAGAACTTACATTCTTATTTTTTAAGCCAATAGTATTATTGATAAGTTATATCTACTTTAAGCGAAACTATTCAACCACCCCTATGATTAATCTAGATATCACAATTTATCCATTTAAATTGTTAGAAGTGGGACTTGTTATCAACGTTGTTATTATTACTACTATGAATCTCTATCTATTATTTGTCAAGGATCTTGATCAAGATTTAAAGGATTTAGAACAGGATGAAATCTTAAGTATAATTAATGCAGCTAATGGATTATAAATGAATAAAAGCAATGAAATATATACTAGATAAAAGCTTATAATAATTTATTTTTTTAAAGATTAAAAGCTACAATAGGATCGAATTGATCTAAATAAATTAGTTGTATCTGAGAACGTCCAATAATAAAGGAAGGGCACTGAACTAGACGATTTGAGGGTACCATATAATAATTTTGTACATGGATCACATATTTTAGATTGAATTAAGTTTGTATTTTGTGCAGCAGAAGCTGGTTGATATTTTAAGCTTTGGATAAATTGATTTGCTTGAAAGAAGCGATCTAAGCAATATGAAACATTATTATTACTATCGCTACTACTAGTAATGTCAGAAGTGTTTATACTGACGCTTCGAACATTAACATTAGCATCCAATTTAGCACATGATATTGAATTGACAGTAGAGTTTGACCAAGCTTTATAAACATCCATTTTGTCACCTAAAGGAAATTGGATGTCGCCATCCCCACTTAATAATGACTTATTTCTTGAACTATCTGGATCCAACAGGGCTGGACAGGCACCTACTAAATAAAGTGATGCTGAAGTAACAGCTTTTAAACACGAAGGATTACATACTTGGCTTAAAGTTGCAAAATATAGCCCATTATTAAAAGAACAATTATTCAAATCTGGATAAAGACTGTAAATGTGGCTAGCTGCAGTAACGCAGCTGTTAGGTTGACCTAGTAAATCGGTAGGGTTTATAAAATCACAAGTTATGGAATAAAACAAAATCAATAAAATATAGGTTAGTTTTAATAAATCATAAAACATTTTAAATTATAAATCGAATAATAAATATTAGTATATATTGTGTAATTTTTTTTAAAAATATTGTTGAAAGTAAAGATTGGGATAGAATTTATTTATATACCTTTCTTATTCTATTATACCTCAACTTATTTTATTGTTACCATTTTTTAGTTAGGGGGCTTGTACCTTTATCTTCACTTATTGTTATTATTTACATTTATATCTTAAAACGTGATATTTCACACCTTGAAATTGAAGTTGAATTAAGCTTAATTTTAACTTGTACCTTTTAGTTTCAGGCGTTAGAATAAAACTTATTATTTTGCATGCAGTTAATAAATTGAGTTCTTTTTTGACTACTTTTAGTTAATGGAAATTTATTTTATCTTTATTTCATAAGTCTTATGTCAGTTATAACTCTTTTTTATATTAAAAGGTTTATTATAGCTGTAAGCGATGGGATTTTTTATCATTTATTAACTAGATTCTAACCTTTTTAATATTAAGGCTTGAGAAATAAAGTTTGTTGTTTGAAAGCCATGTTTTGACTTATGATTTTAAAAATATCGTAATATTTTTTTAATAAAACAATAGAAAATCTGTTTTTAATATTACAATTTTATTATAATTAATTAACATTCTTCATTACCTACCTATTTTTTACAAAATAAATTATATTTAATAGCTCATTTACTAAATTTGGTTAATATTAGGGTTTAACAAAGAATTATTTATTAGTAGGTGAGTATTTTAAATAAAAGCCAATCCACCATCCCTAAAAATCTAGATTTTTAAAGTATAGTTTTCTTGTAAAATCCCATATCTACATATAAATTTATGCCAATTAGTTATAATTATATTAATGAAACTTGACTAAAAGTAGAATTTTGAAATATAATAACTGATTGTTATTAGCTAACTAGCAGCATTTCAATAAGTTAAAAGTTAAAAGTTAAAAGTTAAAAGTTAAAATTTTAATTTCTATTAAAATGTTGCTTTTTAAATGATTATTTAGATATATAACTATTAGCTGAAGTATACTAACTCAAAGTATTAAATAACCATTCTATTACTTATTTTACTATATAGGATTGTTTTAAAGTTAGAAGTCATTATTATATTAATGGCAAGTATTTATTTGCTTTGAGGTATTTTTATCATAAATTCTAAAAAGATGGGGATGTTTTTGATTTCATTATTTTTCCGGTTTCTAAGCGCTATTTGAGTGGAAAGATTGTTAGAATATTAAATTAAACTAACTTCAATAATATATGGGGATGTATTTTTTTATTTAAGAATTTTACTATGAATGACAACTATTATTTATATTGAGCTATAAGTTTAAAAAATAGTAAACTAATAATAATTTTAAAGCGTATTTTGATCTAAATAAACTCAAATATAATTTCAATATAAAAATAACACAAAAAACAATACACATATACGGATCTAATTTGTTATTTATAAATCTAATAAGTCCAATAAGCCTTCAATTAAAAACACTACTATAAAGTAGCTAAAACTTCTTCACTGATGCTGTTATTACTCCTATCAAATCTCAAAAGATTTATATATTTTCTTAAAAAATTATCGCTTAGAACAATCGGCTCAATGGTCTAGTCGTAGGATTCTGCTTTCGGGTAGCAGAGGTCCCGGGTTCAATTCCCGGTTGAGCCTTATCAATATTTTAGTTCTTTCTGGGGTTAAGTTCATCTTGAAAGGAAGGTAGGTTTAATTGGATTGGGAGTGAGCAAGAAGCGTCAATGCATTTCCAATTTGAAAAAGTACACTCCTAAGTATTAGAAGGTAAAAAGGAATGTGGTTTGAAAGAAGTAGAAATAGGATTAGTTTAACTAAAAGCGGATCAGCAGCTAAATATATCAGGATGCATTTTTCAAGAATTTTACTAAAATCTTTCCACTAAATAACGCTTAAAAAAATGGAATCAAAGGTTCACTTGTGTTTTATAAAACTGGTTAAAGTTCTTTATAGATGCAATGTCCGGGAATCGAACCCGGGGCTGCCGCGTGGCAGGCGGCAATTTTACCACTAAACCAACATTGCGTAATGAAAGACAAAAAAATAAAATAATAATCGATAAATTTATATATCTTTAGGTTTGTTTTAATCATGTTAATAGTTGATTATAAAAAGAATTATATAATAAAATACAAAAGAATGTAACTTTTGAATAAGCTTTTTTGAATTCTTTGATATACTTTGGTTATTGATTTTATTTATTGAATTAGACTGATTTTGTTATTTGGAAATTCAACACTGTTTTTCTTTTAACTTAAAAAATACAGTAACACTTATGAAATATTTACATCCCCTCAAAACCTCAACTAAATCATTTTATCCAAAAAATAGTTTTAATACTATAAAAAGTTTAAAACCGGAGTCTTTTATCTATGGTAAGCTCAATCACAATATTTTCACTTTATTTGATTCATTTAATATTTTATTATCCTAGCGAACTTATTAGCAACCAAAATCAAATTGTGTGTATATACAAATTCAGTGCTTCCTAGTGGTAAGTTGAAATATAATTTCATCAAAATCCCAGTCAATGATAGTCTCATCTGTATTTAGCTTTTTTACTTCGCTTCATAAAAGTTCGAGATCCCAGTACTGATAACATCTGGCTAACTCCTGATGGTATTTATGAAAGTAATAGAGGAAGTAAAGGCATTTGGTTAACTTGTTCAAGTAGGATCATTGATCTGTTTTTAAAAGAAAGTAAGTTTGAATATAGAAGGAGTGAGAAAGGTCTTTTAAGTGATGAAAAATGGTTACTGATGATCTTTGTTTAGAGTTTTATAGAACATTAGAAAAAGGAATAATGATTAGGAAGGATTTAACGTATCATGTATACTATTTGTTTAATTTAGAAATACTGAGGTTATTCAAAAATATCGAAAGAGAAGATATTGTTGAGATCAAAGAAGACAAGGATCAAACTAAGAAATCGGTTAATTTTTATATAACATTAAAAATACTAGCTAACAGTGAAGATAAACAAGATTTACTAAAAATAGTTTATCCAAAAAAATACACTTTGCCAACAATAGGTATACAATACAATAATAATCAACCTGAATTTATGCTAAATGGTATGTTAACAACAAACGTATTAAATCATATGATAAGTGATATTTTACCAAGTTCAATTATAAAAGATAAAAAAGTAGGGTCGATGTTGAGATTAGGGATAAAATTATCAGAAAATAGTTTGGAGTTATATACGGCTTTATATAGGTTAGGATTTTATTTGAATAAATAAAAGAGAAAATAACACATACACTTTTTATTTTGATAATGGATTCAATTTATATCCAAGATAAGATTCATAATCCTAATTATAATCCTTTATTACGCTGGTGGAAAAAAAGTAGCAAAAAGAATAGTGGATATAATACTATAAAAACACCAATAATAAATAATTATCGTTTTAAATATTAAGTTGTCGTTATTAGATATCTTATATGCAATGAACCCATAAAATAAAGGTACTGAAGTAAAAAATCTAATAATAACTTGAATATGCATAAAAAATATACAATAAATTAGCATAAAGCTCCACAAATAAAGATGAGGTAATAATTGATCATTGTGTAAATAAGGATGGTTGTCTATGTATGAAAGTTAGTAAATAAGCTTAATGATAATAATTAGTATTGTTATTACTTCCTATTTTTGTTGTTTCTGAATTTTGTTTAAATAATCCTAAACTAAAAAATCTTATCTTATTAACCTTTATATACTCCCAAATACCATAGATAGAAATTAAAATGAATGGCATAGCTAACAAAAAATTAGGTAATTGTTTCCATTCATAATACTTTAAAAATCCATTATTCCTAAGACACAAATAAATAAAGTTATAGATTAGTTTATAATAAAATATTTGATAGTTACTAGTGAATTTACCAATAATGTTTCTGTAGATAAGAGTAGTTTATCGGTACTTTATAATAACACCAAGGGGATAATGGTGAATCAATACTACAATATTCTTGATAAGCATAATATTGAAATATTAGATATCCTAATGCTATAGATAATAATTGCGTGCTTAATTTAACTAATCTAATTATCACACCCTATAAAACAGTTAACTTAATAAGTAAATTATAATATATAAACTTACTATTGAACTTAATTGTTTCCATTCATCAATAAAAAAATAGCTATAAATAATATAACCCATAAATAATAAACCATTAGATCGAGTAAATGTAGATAATGACCAGAGTATAGTGGCTAACCATAGTTCATTATTAATATAATAGTAAATACCACCAAAGGATAATAATGAAAATAACGACTCGGTATACCTTAATTTAATTAAATACGAATTGCAAGTTATTATAGTTAAATAGTTACATTGAACTCATAAACCCGGGACTTGGAGTAAAACAAAATAGTATGGCAGTATTGAAAGCAATAACATCATCATTCAGTAATTTCCTCATTAACTTAAACAATACTACTGCCGCCATTAAAAAACATACATTACTCACTACCACCCCTGATAGAAACAGCAATTCTAATTTCTCTAATTTAATAAACATACCTAACAACTTACTTAACACAATGGTAATCATGGGTAACAGCGGGAAAAAAGCTAATTCATTTTCAATAGGATAAAGTTGATGAGATGTTATATTAAGGAAATGAACAGCATCAAAACGGAGTAATGAACGTAAGGTATTATGAACCATTATTGAACTAGAATTGTCATATTCATTAATAAATAAATGGGCAGTAAAAGCTATAAAGAGAGTTAACACTCGAGAGAAACAAGCATAATAGAATATAGATTTTGTTGGATTGGTGAGTTGGTTAAGGTTCCTTTTAATAGGTTTTAGCTTGGTACGTTTCATTTTATTGATTTTGGTTTATTATAATGAAATAAAAGTTGAAAATGTCATAAATTACTTTTTTGTAATGACAAACTTTATTTGTTTAAATGAGGATATTTTTATTTGAAATTTAAGCTGATTAATAAACGATCAATTATTAAGAAACCCATACGTTAACAAAGGACTTCAGTCTGTCACATATTAATTTTGGAACCAATTTAAATGGCTAATTTGGGCATTAATTTGGAGTTGGAGAAAGTGTTAGTAGAGTATTTATTTTATAGGAATGTAGGATATGTGTTTGATTTTTGAATAAACTTATAAATTACGATTCTAACTATATAAATTATAAGATTGTTATAGTATTATTAACAATTTAAACGGAGGATTATTAAATAGACTAAATCGGTCAATTTTAAAAGACAGTAAAGATAAGCCACCTTTAATTGACTTTATTAGTTCTAGCCAATAAGATTTGAACCTTAAGACTTGCGTTTGATTTTTTTAAAACAAAATTTTCTTCACAATTTCTTACAACAGAAAAAGAAAAAGAAAAAGAATTGATCCTTTATTTAATTTAATTTAAAAATAATTTGCAAATTTTGTTATATTTCAAACAAAAGGAACAAGATTAAATAAAATGATGGCCCATTCACCGTATACTTCACCCCCCTTACCCATTCCAAGTTTAAAAGATTTGAATCATAATGCCACTTCTAACAATACTGAATTAACTGACATTCTTGACACATTACCCGAAGAAATAGGTCTATGGAACTATACCCAAGTAACTTCCTTTATAGTAGCTATATTAAATTTACCAAAGTTCTTGATTAATGATATAAAATCATTTATTATTAACAAAGAAATTAATGGTAAAAAATTATTACAATTGGATGAAGATAAATTGATGACACTAGGGTTTAATAGATTATGGTGTTATCATTTAGCACTAGGGATTGAAGAATTGAATGTGATAGGTAAATTTGATTGTTTTTGATCATTTTTCTTTTTTATGTTAGGATTTAAATTGATTAACTTTACTATTATTAGCTAAAGTCATCAAAGAAGAAAAAGCACTCAACACCAAACTCACATATCAAACTCAGAAATCCAAATCAAATCCAAAGCAATTGACATTGGGGCATAAAAGAGGTAGTTTCATACAAGAAGGATTGAAGAAACAGAACTCTTTTTCAAAACAAAAATTTCATACTATCAATTTGTTGCCTCCAAAACCTTTTTCTTTACCTAATGTGGAACTTTCTTTATTAAAACAATTTATGGTATCTGAGACAATTGGACTTAAAAGTGATGTTAAGAAATTGAAAGAGCAATTAAGGAGAACTGAGGAAAAGAAAGAAGAGGCGATGAAAGGAGTATCAAAAAAAGAGGAGGAAGGAAAAGGAGAAGGAAAAGGAGCAGGAAAAGAAAGTTTTAATAATACTTTTTTTTATTCTTCAATATTGATCACTACCTTTGTTTCTTTTGTCTGCTATTATACTTTTAAAATCAATACTAGACGTTAATTTTTATTTGGTTCTCTCTATTGGTATAATCTCTTTTTTCTCTTCTTTCATATTCACTTGTAAATAATAATTGAACTTTATTATATCGATCTTCATTTTATTTTATTGTATTTAAAATAAAATTTTATAAAATTGTAATGATATTAGATGTTATTTTTGGAAATACTTTATTCATAAAAAAAGCTAAAGGATTAGAAAAGGATAGATATAGATACATTTCTAATTAAGCTTCTATTTTAGGTGAAGAAAGATCTAAATAAAAAATACTAATAAGCTAAAATAT